CCCCATGGTCAAACAACAACACAAGGAGGTTTTGTTCGGGCCTGCACTACTAGTGACTAGTGCGCACAAAGGTTCAAGTTTTGGCGCTTGGACATTGTGGCAGTGTTCAGGCATGACAGCTTCAGGGTCTTAGGGTCTTCGGGTTTAGGCATTGCGACGACTTACAGATTTCAAACTTCAGCTGGGACCCGCACCATGGAAAAGGTACCACTCGTTGATGGAGGGGTCAAGCGCTTCGCCCTCCCAGGTGCTTGGGTTTAAACCCTGCAGCTAACCGACAGCACTATACAGTAATATGTATGCATGCATGGACGAAAACATCCATACATACCTACATACGCACCTACGTATGCACGCACATACATACGTGTAAACCTCTCTCTACATATACATAAATATATATATATATATATAGAGAGAGAGAGATAGAGCGTGTGTGCTATATATATATATAGATATATACAGAGAGAGTGAGAGAGACAGCATTATGCATTATAGAAAGCAAGTTCATGGATGGAAGTAAACGCGGATGTAAATTACGACAAATGAGTAAACACATGAACACATAAATGCTTGCGTAGATCTACTGTATCTATCTGTCTACCAATCGATGTATAATATACATGCTAGAAAGAAAAACGGAAGATTGTATGTGTATATGTATATATACATACACATACATACATATATGACCACACATGCATAGCACACCTGTATAACACATATGTGCAGATTTATTTTTGCCTCCTCCGGGATGGGTCAAGGGTAAAGCGGCCAGGTTTGCTCGCTCGGGCGAAACTGAACAGTCCTCAGAGCCCTGGGGCTGTTGAGATGTTCGTGTATGATCTATACAGTAAAGAACTGCACTGTGGGTCACTCTCCTGCGATGAGGCCACGGATAAACACTCACTGGACACACCTCATCAAGCAACAAACACAGAAAGAAACTTTCAAGACTAGATTACTAGAGATATTTGTGCACTGCCTCTGCCCCAGTTCGCTCGTGAGTAAGCTTTTTCTCCTTAGAAGCCCAAAACCTACACAGTGCATATTGCCAAGCATGCTACGCCGGTTCCCAGCCTCAACCGAACAGGGCTTTCGTACTGTCGCAGACACGTGGTCTGGCGGAACCTGAGACTTACTCGGTGGTTGGGGTTTAGGATTTTTGAGGGTTTGGGGTTTTGGAGTCGCAAAAGGCCTCAAGCTTGGGTTTCGACTTGCATGGAAAGAACGAAAACGAAGAACTTTTAGCGGATCTTGGTGTGCTTCGATTTTCGGAGTGTTCGTAGTAGTGCTTAGAACCCGCATGACAATTTCTCGGCTTGTGGTGAATTCTTTCCCTGCGAGTGGGCTCAAGACTGTATAGCGCCACTCTAAGGTCGGGGGCTCGGGTCTATGGCACGTTTTTGGGGATTTGATCTGGACATTTCGATCCTCTCCGCCCCTGAAGACCTTTTCAGAACCCTGCTAGAAACCTTCTGAGACCTGTCGGGCCACCATCTAGATCACAGAAATACAGGTATCCTGAGAACTGGCAGAGGATGATGGAGTGGACTATGCTATACTTGTAATAGACCCTCTGGAAGAATACTACTACTTGGTTCAAACCTAAATCCTTAATCCTTCAATCCTGGAACACAGCCTGAACCCTAAACCCTTAATCCTAACCCCCTAAAATCCTGGAGCCCTGAACCCTAAATCTCATGTTGGTGGACGTTTTGGGTCCGTTTTGAGGCATCCCTCCAGCCTTACAATCAACTAGTTTCCCCGGTAGCCCCTTAATAAAAAGCGTTAGTGTTTAGTTCCCCGGTAGCCCCTTAGTAGTAAGGGCACCCTTTTTCCTACGAATTATTCGGTTTTAACAAGGGGGCCCAAAAACGGGGCAAGAGGGTACTACTGAGCTTCTAGCCAATGGTTCTAGCAGGGTGCCTTTGAAGTTGGTTAAGCGTTTCCTGTGGGCTCTTTCGGAGGTTTAGGTCTTAGGGTTCAGGGGGTCTGGAGAATATATACCTGTCATCACTTCAGCCTACTTTGTTGGAGGGCATAGACAAGGAAAGCATAATGAGAAACCCTGTTGCTTTGGCTTGCAGGATCTTGCATGTAGCCCCAGGCCCTATTGGTGGTTTGGGTTTTTTCCCTCCCACTTAGCAAGGATAGGCCAGGGTTGAAAGGTTTAGGGTTTGGGTGTTTATTTTAGTGTGGCTTCGGGCTTCAGGCCTTCGAAAGCTGAACGTAATCCCATTTTCCAAGTGCTCTGTACACATCCCGAATGTACCCAAACGGTCACCGAAAGACCTGTATACTAAATCCTCAAAAGCCCTGCATTCACGCAGCATCCCATGATCCACTCCCGCAAATCCCAAGCGACCGAGTGGATCCCCTCAACTCGTAACTGGAGGCCACCAGCTCCAGCTTAGCTTTCGGCATACTTCACGAACTTGACGCCCGCCTCGGAACCCACCTTCACCTGCGGGGCTCCACAATTGAAGATGGTTTGGTGTTCCTCCGTCTATGGAGTATTCCGCAGGAAGGGCTGTAAGGAAGGGTCAAGGTTTGCTTCACCTACTGGTATCTGAAATTAAATGAGGGTTGGCTCGAATTTCCCTTCAAATAAGCGCATCATGCTGGGTCTTCTTGGGTCTCGTCGTTCTAGGAGTCGGCAGGCGTTGTCCTTAAAAGTCGGATTCCCTTTAAGTTTAAGCCTGCTTCGGGTGTCCGGGGCTCCCATGTTCACGCAAGTGTGCTCTAGATCACATTATGGCATTGGCCCTAAACCCTAAACCCTAAAAACCCTAAACCCGAGCCCTATGACAGCCGAGGCCCGATTGTTCGCGGTTGTCCAAGCCAGGCTGTGCTTATAGCTCTTCTAGCTTGGATCGCTGCATCCAGCTGTAGCTGTAGCCCAAAACCTGTGCACCAAATTACATTAGAGCTCTTACACACAATGGGTAACTGGAGCCGCGGGACAATGCTTTCGAGCTCGAAAGAACCAAGGCCTTGATGCATCTTTTTGAGCGCTCACAGTGCTCATGCTTCCTGCGGTTGCTCCCCAGAAGCCCTCTAAGAAGCCTACATTCAATACCCCTCTGAACCCCTATTTCTCTTTTTAAGAATACCCATGCCCTTACAGTATATACCCACTGCAAAAAGGTTCACTGGGCCTCTGGACGCCGGGGGGTAAGACCGGAAAGCTTTCAGGGCCTCGGTCTCCTGACTGGACGTCTTTGCTTGCACGAGCAGCAAGATAAGAGGGTGTAGGGTTTAGGGTTTAGGGTTTAGGGTTTAGGGTTTAGGGTTTAGGGTGCGCTTGCAAGGAAGAGAGCCAGCAGAACGCTTCCACTGCGGACAGGTTGAAACACCAAATGCAGAGGACGTGAGTGGCTTTGGCATCTCTCAAGATATCCTCATGCTGAAATTGCTCCGGAAAGTCAGGTTGAGCCTACTGTCAACTGCCTTTTGCGGTTATCGGACAAATCGACACATCCCTAAACCCTGAAGCCTAGAGCCTACACCCTCACCAATACAAGATCAGACGCAACAAGCCCTGAACAACTGCACTCCTGATCCCAATGAGCCCTGCATAATCGAGATGGCTGGAAGGCAAATTGCCTCCATGGTAGTTGAGGTCCTTTGGACTCGATGTGTATATATATATATATATATGTATACTTACGGATACATACACATGCATGTACACATACACATATAACTGCCGTACATTGGGTTTTTGAGGCTTCAATGAAGGCATCCGAAGCGGATGTTACACGATGCAAAAAAAGAGGTTGTCACAGGCGCATGAAGATAAACCTACATAGTAGACGTTTGCCCCCGAAACCCAGTGTTCAAGATATAGATTCAAGTCTAGAATATGAAAACCCACAACGCCCAGCGCGATACAGCCTTACACGAGCGGCTCCAGTGCTGCTCAGCTCTCTTCCCTGTCTATTGGCAGGTCAAGATGTTTGGACTCTCTCGCGGACACCGAGATCGCTCGGGTGTACTTCGTTTAGGGTTTAGAGTTTAGGGCCAACCCTAAACCCTAAACCCTAAACCCTAGTTTAGGGGTTTAAGGTTACAGTTTACCCTCAACATCTGTTTAGGGGCTCTGAACTACAGAGCCTCGGATGCAAAGTCGGAGGTTTGCTGTGAGAAGTGGGGGACTGAGTTGAGTTCAGAAACTACAAGGGTAGCTGATTTCGGGGTCCGCACAAGGAAGATCGTAGCTTTTGGAGCTTTACCACTTCTCTGAAACTCCCCAGTCCATGCAGTTCAAGCTCAACTTTTCTCAGGCCAATGCAGACCTCTCGTTGATAAGCCGCCTACATGGTTACGAGTATTCCAAACTCCTATGCAAACACAACTGGAGCGAGTGAAAAAGCAAAGCTCATCACACGACCCCAGTAACTCTGTACTAACATAAGACCAGCCTGCTGAGAACCGAAAAACAACCCCTATCATTGTCAAGCCCTTGTGCTGCAGGGCGGCCCGCAATCCCAAACCCTAACCCCAAACCCCCGAACCCTAAACTCCATTCTCTAGACCCTGGGCGGGTAAGATTTTTGGAGCACCCTGAAGCCTAATAAAGATGCCTTAAACAAGCTAAGCAGCTAATCTCTACGCTACAACACCGAAAGAGGGTCCAGAAAATGGTCTCTGCGGCTACTTGGCGTCGTCTGGCTTGGCCCGACGAGCGCGTGTGCCTGACCTAGAACTGCTAGGTGTTAGCTGCTCGAATTGTGACACTGAACAGCAGGCCGCATGTGCCATACTTCTGGCTGGGTGATAGCACCATGGGGTGCCTTCTATCAAGTGACGCAGCTTGGGGCGCTCAAGGAGTTCTGGAGCAAACGGAACACTATTAATCTAAGCTTTCCACATTGGGGGCATCTTGAAGTGTAGGTAGAAATGTATTAGCGTCCTGATGCTAAATTCTTTGTTGTCAGGTCAGGCGCACATCTGCAGGCTTCACACTTCTTTGGCCCAAACTTCGGGAAAATTGCTCACGACCATCCGCAGATTTTGGCCAGGGGCAAGCACGAACCTCAGTGCAGGACATGTGGGAGTTTCCGAAAATAGGGGACCCTAATATAGTACCCTAAATAATAGGATCCTTAATATAGGGACCCCAGAATAAGGTACCCCAATTTTCGGAACCCCCATGTCGAACGCCACGCCGGCTGAGGAGTGAAGGACTGAACTCTTCATGGAGGGTGAGCTCAGCTGCACATGACTGGGAAGGTTCACCGATTCTTGCAGCAACGAAGTTTGGCCTCGACCGAGAGCCACTGTAAGGCAAGCACATAAAGCCGAAATGCGAAACAAGCCGTATTGGGGATGTTGATGCTGACATTAAGCATCTTGCTTAAGCGCTGCTTGCCCGAGTTTCGCTTGCACACAGGGAGCCTTGCACGACAATATACGCCCAAACCTGGGACACCCTCATAGACTCCAGGAGCTTAGGGTCTGAGGGATCAAGTTAAGGCTACGAAGGCCACTGACAAAGACAAGCAGAATGCCTGTATGAAGTTTCCCGAAGCTTTCGACAGCCAAGTCCTGAATCCTAAACCCAACAAGGCCAGTGGACCCCACTGAGCCCACGCCCCAAACCCCAAATCCTGAAAGAAAGAGTATGAACTCTGACTCCCTAAGCCTAAGCCTCATACAGCCGACATCCTTAACCCAGTGAACCCCCCTCAAGCGGCAGATACAAGAAATCAACCCCGGCAGAACCTTAAACAAACCACGCATGCATGTGGTGTAGCAACCTGTCAAAAGCTCATAGACCCCGATAGTTACAACACAGCACGAAACACCGTTAAAACTAACAATCAAAATCAGAAGCCCTTACACGTAGGTACCGTTGTACTAGCCCTGATAGGGTCCTTGAAAGAAACTCTCAACACTCGATCTTTGAAGGTTCCGAGGGGCTGAGAAATCCGCCCTGGGCAGGCTCGTGGCTGTGGCCATTCTGAGGCTTGCCTTGGCTTTGGGGGTTTTGCTGGGATGCTTCATGGGTTTAGGGTTTAGGGTCTAGGGTTTTCAGCTTCATGGATAACTTTTTTGGGGAAGGGCTTTGCTAAAAAAACTGCAGGCTACTGGGGTTCAGCATGTGGAAAGAAGAGTTCGGGCCTCCTCCAAGGCCCAGACCAACCAAAATCCTCCTAAACCCTATAAACCCTAAGCCCTATCCTCCTGGAGGGAGTTTTCTAAATTAGGGCCCCTTTTAGGGGTCCTGTTTTATAAGGGTGCCGTACTATATTGAGTACCCGAAAAGGGAGCCGAGGCACTCAAGGTCTGTGCGGCCTTGAAGTCCACAGTGCCTGGCTGCCGGAATCTCAAGGGCTTGAGCTTATAACCGTTATCGTTTAGGGCTCAGATTTCGGGGTTTAGGGTTTAGGGTTTAGGGTTCTGGGTTTAGGAACCTGCACAGGAAATCTCATGGGCTTATGAGTTGAATATAAGGGGCTGAATAATTAGAACAGAGGTTTTTTTTTGGGGGGGGGTCCTTTCAACGGGTTCCGCTAGAGGGTTCTATGAGGGATCTATAGTCGGGTTCTATATTAGGGGCCTGAATAGTTAGAATAGGGTTTCGGACCCCCAAAATAGTATGGGTAATTATTTAGGCCCCTATATTAACTGTGAACTTTGGGTCTGGAAGACTGAAATTGATAGGGGCTTTATGTAAGAATTGGAATGAATGGGCATGCACGAACATTTACCATTACTGTAATATTTCGACATATGAACGATATATCAAGGAATATGAGCGCAGTAATTGTTAGGGGATAATGAATCGATTTGTCGCTTCCCGTAAGCTCGAGGGGTCCATCGTGTGAACGACGTGACTTGGCTGATGCGGTTTTCGGCGGCGTTGTCCAGGGCTTGTTGGCTGAAGAATGACGTATCCGAACCGCTATCTCCGTGCAGCTTGGGGTTAGTGGTTCTGGACTTGCGAACTCTATGAACAAACAGTCTGGGCACTGCAGATGTGAGCCACAAAGAAACAGCCAAGAGGCGGAACAGGTCTTCCAGGGTCTCGGCTCTACGAATTTGGAGAACGGATCCATCTGTCCTGCGCATAAGGCTCCCGGTGTCGGGGAACGCTACCCTGAGAAGAATGTACCGCTCGGTGAGAAGCAACGAAAAGAGCAAACACGCCGGATGCAATACAATTGCCTGAATGGCGTAAACACAGCAGACACAACGTGGGAGACGACTGAATTTAAGCTGCTAGCGCAGGATGCTGGAACATGCGCGAACCCTGATCCCTAAAGCGTAACGCCAACAGCAGCTACTAGGCAGGGGCCGACTGCTTCACACCATACCTGCAAGGGGACCGTCACCGTCCATCAACAAGACAACCCTAAACCCTTAACCATCCCAAAACCTAGACAACAACCCCGGTCCCTAGCCCTTTTTGCCAAAGCCCCTCGATCTCAATTTCTCAAACCGAAAACTGTATGCCTCCGAACCACAACCCTGAAGCCGAAGTTCCTTACACAATGAATCCCTAGACTTTTTCTGAGGAAGCTTGCAGTGATCCCGAGACACTAAGGCCGAAGTCCTTTGATCCTATGACCCAAGCACAATACTCATACAACCACACACCCTGGACTACAGGCCCAAAGCTCTAACGATTTTATCTTCAAGTATTCCTAAGCCTAATAATATACCTTGTCACTATTCTCTAGCACGTTCTGACGGGGGGTCTTTAGAGGAATATTTGCTCCTTGCAGGGGATCGATTAGGTGGCTATTTGGCTTTTATTTGATCTTTGTTTGGCTCCTAATCGGCCTCTGTTTATGGTGCCCGTTTGGTCCTTATTTGGTTCTCAGTCGGGCCTTAGTTTGTCCCTACTTGGTCTCCGAATGGTCAGGTCTCTGTATGGTTTCCAAATCGGTCTTGACTTGTACTTGTTCCGTCTTTAGTACGCGTAGTTCCTGCCAGGCCCCTTCACTCGGGTCATGAGTTTCGTTCCAAAGTGTTACGGGGTATTTGGTGCGATGTTACGGGTTAGGGAACTTAATTCGGAATCATAAGTCGCTTCGTCCTGAGAAGTCTGTCCCAATTCTGGCCGGTTGTTCGCTGAAGAACCGGTCCCGGATGAGGGTGAATCCCGCCACAAATTTGATCTTTAACTGGACCCAGATACGGGCCAAACTTGGGCTCGAATGATGGAAGGAAACCGGCCCGGATAAGGGCCAACTCCGGGACCCAAATAAGTGCCAAGCAAGGGCCAATTTGGTCCTTAAGCCGGCCCGGATAAGGGCCAAACCCGGCACCCAAATATGGGCCAAATGGGTGGGATTCCTTGGGAATATGCACATTTGGCCCTTATCTGGTGGAAAGGATTTGGCCCTTAGCCGGGCCAGCTTAAGGGCCAAATCTTGCCAAGATTTGGATTTTGCCCTGGCCGGATTTTGCTTGGATTTGTATCGGTGCCAACTTTGGCTTCTACTTGGGCTTTATTTGGTCCCTGCTGCTGCTGCCGGTACTGTCACGGTTGGCGTCGGTGTCTTCTTATTTTCCTATTGTTATCCTTCTTCTTGATCTTCTTGTTGTTGTTGTCATATCCGCGAGGGTGTAGGCACGGTTCTTTACGTGTTGAACTTGTTTAATTGTTTAATCGCACTAGTGATTGGCAGTATATGTTGTCAGCAAGCAGGATGCACGTTGAGGATGACCGTGACGCGTTGACGTTGACCATGACGATAAAGGATACTGCTCTCGCTGCTGTCCCTAAACCAATTTTGCCTAAACTCCGCCCAAGTAAGAACCAGACGAAGGCCCGAATAAGCCCTAAGTAAGGCCCAAACGATGGCCCAAATGAAGGCCCAAGTAAGTCCCAACTGAAGCCCAAATAAGGCCCAAACAGGACCCAAATTCCTGTAAAGACAACGTGATCGAGCACACTAACAAAATATACCCGCACCCCACAAACACCACACCAAATTCTATATCAATTCCAAGCTATTAAGTAATCAGCCAAGCCCTATACATAGCCCTAGTGTAACATGCCCCCCTTCCCCCCTGCAAACCCTAGTCTAATTACTAAGCCACCCTCTATTCGCCCCTAGGACCGATGTCCTGTACAGGTACTCTGCGGAGCGCGGCTTCCCGTTGTAGTTGAAGCCCATAGAGTGCCTAACTTGGACTGCTCATGGGATTCTATATGTTAGGATTCAAGGTTCAGGGACCCCTAATACACGGACCTTTTGTTAGATATCATAGGGAACCCTGTGGATTAGTATTGGCAACGGACCAGGCTGCTTGATTTATTGCCATGTTGAACCCCTCCTGAATGACCAGTTCACGGTGACTTTTCCGACCTAAGCCTAAACGGTCACCCATATAGCCCGCGAGCTGCCTAGCAACGTTTTCCCTCTCCCGACTGCTGGTCCTCCTTGCTGTGTCTAGCTGTAGCTTGCGGTATGAAACTAGCATGCAACTAATTTCTTGTGAACCCGAAACGGCTTGGATCTCAGCCACAACAAACCTAATGGGTGCAGAGAAACCTACACAGTTGTACGATATAACTCCTAACCCCACCCTTCAACCAGCTTCCGCTCCAAGCAGCCCGTGCGCGCCCGCGTCGTGGATGACAGCGACATCGCCCGGTTGGGGGTCGATGTTAAGTTGTCGATCGATGGCGAACTTGTCCTAGGATCAACGGCTGAATGCGAAACCTTATACCAGAACCGCCCCAAATAGAGCGTTGTTTAGTTTTCATGAAGACGAACAAGTGTCGGCGACACACCCTTTGCCGCAGCAGAAACCCTTAATATAGATACCTGCTTAGCAAACCCCCTCTTCAAGTGCATCAACACTCCCCGATGATAATCCTTTTGCAGGTACAGGGGTGGCTATTAACCGGGGGTCTACATTGGATTGTCGACTCTTGTAGAAAACCATCTCGGATCCAGGAAGAACTGAACGCTCCGGAAACCTCTTCCCGATTCGCATCTATCCCTGCACAAAACGCACAACATATTCGCAAAACCATTTACTTGCTTGTGATCACTCCTAGGCCCCTTACCAAGCCAAAATCCAGCAACGGTCGTCTTACACGCTCTGAACCACACAAGGACCCTCGAAAAACAATCAATTCCTAAGCCTGAGAACCATCGTCGCGAAGGACCAAGTAACTTACCGGGGCGGTCGGGCTAGCTTTGTGTTTAGGGTTTAGCGTTTGGGGCTTATAAGGGGTGTTGGAACCGTCGTCAACTCCAAACTCCGACCCGTGCTGAGATGCGTTGTTCTCGCAAAGCCCGCCAACCACGTCGTAAACGCCGGTTTGCGTGATCAAGTCCTGGAGGTCATCTTACACTATACAATAAACTGGCCCTTAAGTCAGGGTTTAGGGTCTGTTCTATTCAATTATGTTCTCTTCTGTTCTCTCATATTGTTTTTTCTTTTTATCAGGAACAGAACCGCTGCAAAAGTCTAAATCTCGTTCGAAGGTGCATGAGCCAAGTCCGGACGTGCACAAGGGCAAGAAGCACGGAACAGGATTTCGGGGTGTACTAGACTGTACGACAGTCGTAATAAGGAACCCTCAGGAATAGTATTCTGTTTCACTTTTAAGGCTTCGTTGTGCAGTTTCGAACAAATATGGTTCCGGGTGCCTTTGAGACAACACTCAGCTATAATAGGAACACGACCCCGAAACCTTTCTCAATCTTAGACAGCCTCATTAGAAACACCTCATCTTAATCCGAAAAGAAGCCTGATTGCAATATTTCGCAACCCGAAAAAGCGCTGCAAGACCACCAAAGCCCACAGCCCATACCCAGCGCGTGTCGCTCCGAGACCTGTCCTTGCTGTTATCCGGCATCGCTGCATCCTGAGGCTGGTTCCAAATCAGAGGGCCCGAAGTACCTAAACGTCTAAGCAGGATACACAGTGCCGAAACGAACGTACCAACGCACCAGCAAGTTCATGAACACACCGGTATACATATATAGATTAGAGGGAGAGATGTACATGTATGAGGCATGGAATTTCGCAAGACTTAGAACGGCAGTCTGCATGTCTGCTGTTCGTGCCGACATGAGGCCTCATTGGTGCTTGAAGGGTTGGGGCTTACGGTTTTTGCGTTGGAGCTTATAATGGTTCATGATACGCCTTGACGTTTAGCGATGGTCGGGTGAGGAGACTCAGACTCAGCACTTCGAGTTGCACGAGATACGGTCATGGCCTGATTGATTACTTCCACCCCGCCCCTCGCCGTCTAGGGCGGCTATCCGTCAAACAAAACACAACTTCTTGATCATGGAATGAGCAAATTGGAGGGCGTGTATGTCGTAGGTCTCTAGCATGCAAAGCGGCGAGAAGGCTCAGACCTCTGAGGTATCCGGAGGATCGGGGCCAAAGCTACACGGCACGGGAACTTTGCCTGCTGGGGTTGCCCCGGAAGCCCAGCTTAACTAGTCAGTAGGTCTTGGGGTCCGATGAACAAAGAAGTATGTAACCATGGCATCGCAACCCAGGAGAAGCGGTTGGAGGTGTATAACCGGGCATCAAGCCTTGGGCATCATCATTTGTGCATTGAGACCTCAAGAACTCTTGCTGGGTGGAGGTTTAGACCCGCTCGTGAAGACCCTGAAAAATATTTCGAAGGCTTGTATGGGGCTATATCAGGGTGCTGCACGGATGCTTTCTCAGGAACTTGAGTCGCCAGAAAGTATGCAACGACAATACCAAACGTCTACAGCTCGTACCAAAAGCCCTTTTGTAGAGCCGCCAAAAACTCCTGAAATCAAAAAACACGTGCAAATAACACACCACATGACAACCCCTTAGAAACCCTTTACCTGCGCCCTAGACCATGAGCCGTCTAGAACCCAGGAAGCCGTGGCCTTCTTCGGCAAACCTGGAACCGGATCCGGGTTTCGCACCACCTGGTTTAGGGGTTTAGGGGTTTAAGGTTCAGGGGTTTAGGGTTTAGGGGTTTAGGGTTTAGGGTTTAGGGGTTTGGGGGTTTAGGGGTTTAGGGGTTTAGGGTGAAGGTCGGTGGGCTCGGAGAAGCTCGACTTCATGTGTCACGGCGTGGTGTATCTAACTCATCATGGCAGTTTCTGTTGATATTATTACATGACTTGGGTATTGTCTTACATTCAGAGCTTTTGAACGGTTGAGTTGTCTTTGAAGCTTTCTCATCTCGGGTAAGATGTCCAGACTACAAGTTCTAAGATGGCTTTCAGATGTGTTCTGCGACGGTCTCATAGTTGTCGTGGAAGATTTAAGAGAATCGTGTGATGGTGGGAGGGGTGTTTAGGAATTAGAATTAGGCTTCAGCCATGGCTTTTTGGTTTTGAGATCGGGGTGTGGCTTTGAGCATCGTGATATGCCCTTTGTGTTTGATAGTGGTACCGTTGCTCTCGACGACTCTGCTGTTCCTGCTCATGGGTTGGGGCTTTGCGAATTGTTCAGTTCAAAGCTTCAATCGATTGGGCTGGTTCGTATATTTAGTATATTGGTTACTCGACGTTGTCATGCCGACAAGCCCGTGCTTGACTAGTAGGTGCCATCCAAGAAGTCAAAATACAACTACCCTCTAAACAAGTAGCGTGCTCGAGGGCCAAGCCCGAAGTGGTAGCAAGGGCTTACAGCAAATACAACTGAGTAGTTTTCTAAATTAGGGTCCCTTTGGTGCCGTACTATACGCGGGACTTAAAATGGGGTCCTAATTTAGAGAACTACCCAAATTCTGGAGTCAAATAAGCCCACAACTAGACCAAATCTCATGAGAAATCAGACTCAACAATGCTTGAAGCTTGAGCTGCCCCACGTCCCAAGGGAAGCCCCCGCACAGCCAGGAGACGGTGATGTGGTGGTAGGCATTGTACATGCCAGGCCGCATCAAGTTGGCCTAGTCCCATCTCTAGGAAGAGCCATTGGGGTCTGTTTTCCCCTAACCCTTCAGCTGCGACCCGGGGCTCTGTGAGGTTTACGACTATCCAGTTCGAGGCTTGGGGCTTTAGGGATGTAGGGTTGAAGGACCGGGGATCTGAAGCTTCGGGTTCTGAGCTTCTGGGGCTTCGGGCTCAGGAGGTTCTAGGCTTCGCATGTTTTTTATATGGGAGTTTCCGAAAAGAAGGGGTACCTTATTCTGAAGTCCTTATAGCAAGGATCCTATTATTTCGGGTGCTATATTAGGGTCCCCTATTCTCGGAAACCCCCATATACCATCCTTCATGCGCCGACCCCTCTCTGCCCCTCGAAAAGCACAACTTCCAACTGGGTCCCCCACCCCCTTGTAGACCCTTCAAGGAACCCGTATAGACTCCTAAAGGAACCCCCATAGATCCCTTAAAGGAACCCGTAAGCTTCGGCCGCCTTAAATTCGGCGACCTTCCATGCCTCCTGAGCTACCTATACTCAGTTTCCTGGCGCGAAAGTAGATCTTGACCTCTGCGGGGTGGAGCGGGATATCATCACCCCCAAAGGGCTAAAGGTTACCCACAATACTAGGGCAGAATACTCAACTGTAGATTCGTAATAAGGAAAAAATAAACCCTGGAACCCCGATTAGCCTTCTGCCTTAGGCCCAGGCCATGCAAGCGTCCACGCCCACGTAGTTCTTGTAGATCTTCCTCAGGCATGTAAGCACCCTAAACCGTACAGAGCTTGGATTTTAGATCCGATACGCTAGACAAGTAAACCCCACACCTTATAAGCCCTTAAGGCCTGAACCCTAAGCTCGCAACGCCTTCATTGAGCACTTAAAGCCTAACCCTTAAGAGCGCCAGAAGCCAGGGTGGAGTGGTTTCCTCGCGCGTTTACTCAGGTGATCATGTCAAGGGTGCAGATACTTTTAGGTCCAGAGTAGGGGTTCGCAGTTCCTGGCCTAGGAGTTGGGGGGAGATTCTAAGAAGACTATACAAGGCTCGTGAATTGGAGAGCTCATAGGGTGGCTGGTTGAAGAGAAAGCTCAAAACCTGGATAAAGCAAATCGGCAGTTTACCATACCCTAAACCCCAACCCTCAACCCCTAAACAAGGGAAGCCTCAAACCCCCAAAGTTTTAGGGCTTAGGGTTTAGGGTTAGAGTTTAGGGTTTAGGGTTCCCTATGCCCCCTAAACCCTAAATCCTCAACGCTAGAAAAGGAAGTGGGAAACTTCGAAGCCCAGGGTCTTCCGATGAACCACGCGCGTGAAGAGCAGGCCGCTGGGCCCTCGAAAGCGGCGCTGGGGGAAGCTGAGGGTTGGACGGGGGATGTTGTGCCTGGGGGGTAGGGTTTAGGGTTTAGGGTTTAGGGTTTAGGGTAGGATTTTTCCCCTGGATTTAGGATTTACGGTGTGGGCCTAAAGTTGGGGGTTGAGATCTGGCCATGGATTAGGTTTTAGGGTTTAGGGATCCGGGTGTAGGGTTTGAAAGTTTGAAAGGGACCGTTGCCTCGCCTGGCCAGGACGAAAGGGACTAGGATTTGCGGCTTAGGGAAAAGGCTGCAGGGCTTGTAGAGTTTATGAACTTATAGGGCTGACGATAGGGTTTATGGGATATAGGGTTCTTAGGCAGGGCTCAGGTCGAGGATGGAGGGCTCTTTGAGGTGATATTAGGTTACATGGTTTTCCACACGGCTCAATGTCTCGTCTTAATATTACGGCTACGAGTTCCAACTGGCTTTGACACAGGATTTCCGTGCTAGTATTAGGGGTTTAGGGTTTAGGGGTTTAGGGTTTAGGGGTTTAGGGGTTTAGGGGTTTAGGGTTTAGGGACCCCTAAACTCGAGACCTTTAAACCCCAAGACATTGGACCCTCCTACCTTGGGTATCCGTCTCCATATAGTTGGTCTTCATTTTGCTCGTCGCGCATCTCTGTTTGAAACCCTTCAAAACAGATACCAGACAGCCGACGCAAAATATATGGTAGTCAGAAAGTGTAAGAGACCCGCAAGCATTGTCAAGAAATGGATTCTTGTCATAAGCACAACCGAACAAGCTCCCCATAACTTCAAAACCACACAATGTCTTACTATTGATTTGGGAATTTCTGAAAATAGGGGGTGCCTTATGTTGGAGGTCCTTATCATAAGGATCCTACTGTTTAGGGCACTACATCAATCCCCCCCTTTTCGGAATTCTTCGGCTGCCCGGGAGGGACCGGCCTGTGATGTAGCGACCACACTCTGTGACCACCCGGACAGCACCCAAGTTCTTGTTCGTGATCAGCTCCTTCGGCTGCATGGAACTGGCTCAGCAAAGGGAGCCTAGGGTTTAGGGTTTAGGGTTTAGGAGCCCTAACCCCCCAGGTACCTACTACAGAGGGTACTAGAGCCCTTATAGGGCCCTATATACCAGGTACCTGGAGGGTTAGGATAGCACACTAGGCGCACTGCCGACTTCTCGGGGGAAGCACGCATCATTTCAAGCAGAGACAGACCCTGTTCATCCACTTCGCCACACCGACAGAAGCAGCAGTGACAAGAAGAATAACACCGAAACTGAGGAACACCACGGAATTGTAAAAAGCCATTTCAGCATATACATCCAGAGGCTTTACTGCTCCTTGTAAATCTCATGGATGCCGGCTCCGACAGCTTTCACATCGATGATGTTCTCCTGTTCAGGGGGTTTCATGAAAGGCCTGCGAGGCCTCAGGCTTCTGCTTCTGAAAAGTGGCGTTCAGGTCACACGGTTCAGTTCAGTCTCGAGTTATTCAGGGTTCAGGTTTAGGCTAGGTGTTTGGGAAGTACCTTTGAGAGGATCATGCAAGGGTCAAACTACAAGTACGAATGACCCATGTAGGTAGTAGTTTGTGGCTTGGAGTGACTGGGCCCGACGGCTGAGAGCCCGGCACCCCCACATTGTAAACTTGGGGTTGAGTACACGAGTGTTGCTTGCCATGGAGATGGAGATAGACCGGAGGAGCTTACAGTTCGTAGGGCCTCTTGCAGATGAATTTCGTATGTTGGGATGCCAGGTGCGTGCGTGCCAGCCTTTCCCAAAGACTACACCAGCCATCCATCGAAGCTGTGGCCCGGCTGACAAGCTCTCAAGCTACAGCTTCGGATTTAGAACAGTTCTTCGGAGCTTAGAACCCGACAGTTTCGTCGCACGGAAAACACCGAATACATGCACCCCCTAAAGTTGGTTCGCATGGGAGAAGACTGACGGCATATCAGAGCATGTAACAGGCCGAAGCACTGAAGACATCAAGCTTGCGACAGGGACCAACTTAATTGAAAGTGTACCCTGAAACCTCAAACCCTAAACCCTAAACCTCAAACCCTAAACCCTAAACCCTAAACCCTATACCCTAAACCTTCAACCCAACGTTTAGAACTTCGGCTTTGAGCTGGAGCCCTGCCAACTGCTAAAAGCACGCGGCTGGGAGATTCCGGCCAATATGGGGGGCTTAACCTTAAGACTTAGAGCAGGGTTCTGAAGTACGTCTACTACAGCTATATGATTAAGGACCCCTATACGGATAGTTTTGGTAAGTATCCATGTGCAGGTATATTATCGGCCTCCGGACGGTAGGGGATACCGAAGCCACCGCCCAAGTTAACCAGCTCAATGTTGATGCCCAGCTTCTCCTGCCGAGATTCAGGGCTTAGGGATTTGGGGTTAAAGCCGAAATAATGGTTCTGCTGGGTTGCTTGTAGGTTCAGGCGTTGTGCGCTGGAGCTTCTGGATTCTTTAAAAACTCAAAAAAATTAAACCTAGCAAACCAGGAAGCCCTGGAACCCCTGCACGCAATCTACATCCTAAACCCCTTCTTTGCGTTAAGAGTTGGGTCATTGGGTCAATGAGCATGTGAGGGAAACCAGAATTCTGCAAGCGCAAATTCTTCTCACCAACAGTTCTTGATCATGAGTATGAACTGTAGGGATCAAGGCTTATAAGATGTTGGGATCGCTTTCTTGATTTGATTTCACGGGACACCAAGAACCGTTGTTCAATGGACTTCCTCTGACAGAAGTCCAACCAGTGTTTGCCATCGGCTCTGTCGCCAGCATCTGCTTCTCGTTTGCCTCCAGAAGGTCGACTTTGTGCTGGAGGCATTCCTCTACTGCGATGAAGACCTGCTTCTTCTGATCGATGAGGGTCTTGCAGACACCACCGGAATGGCCACGACTGGCTGTGCGAGGTCCTTTTTTGCAGGATTCCCTTAAAACGCATAAGACCGAAACCCCAGGCCCTACACCCAGTTGAGGCTAAGATCCTGAACCAAAGCTCGCATCCATTGCAATCAGCATAGAGATCTTCCGGCACAATACGTACTGTATTTCTTTAAGAAAAGGAACTCTACGGACTAGTATTGATAGCAATTCCGAGGCCTGTTTCGTACCCAAGTTTGAACCCTAAACCTAAACCCCTAAACCCTAAACCCTAAACCGCTAAACCCTAAACCCTAAACCCCTAAACCCTAAACCCTAAACCCTAAACCCCTAAACCCTAAACCTCCTAGGTGCCGCCTTGATGGATCCAACGAGGCCGAAAAGCATTCGAGCAGTCTCCAACAGCTCTTGGGCCTGGCTCCGGCTTGGGGTTTAGGGTTTAGGGTTTGAAGGGTTTAGGATTTATAGGGTTTAGGGTTGAGGGTTTAGGGTTTAGGGAGCTGAGGGTTTAGGGTTTAGGGTTTAGGGAGCTGAGGGTTTAGGGTTTAGGGCTGAGGGTTTAGAGGTTTTTGGCCTCCTACTTAGCAAGGACGTGCCCGAAATTGCAGGGTAATGTGCTGTCGTTTAGAGGTTTAGGGTGAAGGGTTTATAGGGCGTTTACATAGGGTCACGGGGACACCCCACGGTTTTGGGAAGGTGACTTCAAGCCGGTGTGTGCTTCCAGGATGCTGCCTAGCTCTCGGGGAAGGGCTCTATGTCTATATATATATATATATATATATGGATATATGGTCGGACGTGTAATGTTGACTGCAAGCAAAAGAGAGGTTTGTATATTTTTGTTTACATAAGTCGTGTCTGGGCTTGCGGGTGGTTGAAGCTGAGGTGTCCCAGTGCAGGGTCAGCTGACCCTTGGTAATGACCTACTGATGTGTGTGGTTTGCAATTTGCAGAAACCCTGAACCCCTAAACGCTAGATACTACACCCTGATCCCTGAACCACAAAACCCCAAGCCCCCGACCCCCCAACTACTTGTGGTTCAGGGTCCCAGGGGTTGTGCTTTTTTTTCGGCCCCGAGCCCGACCGCTCAGCCCTAGGTCTCCCAACCCGAAACTTCAAAAAACCTTTAACATCGCATCTTTTCGTAACTATATATATATATATACATACATGCATGTATGCATGCACGTACGAATGTACAGGGAGAGGGAGGCACGCCAAATTTTAGCATACATCCCTACATCCTAAACCCTTACCGAGTCAGTCTCGACCTTCAGGCAGTTCGACACGACCATCGCATGGAGCCCAAAGCGCTTGACTCCAAGATCCCGGCCTCGGGATAAGCAAAACAAACAAAGCACATCGAAGCTACACCAAACACCCCTGAAGCTAAGGGTTGCAAGAGCGTTGTTCAGGCAATCTACAAGGTCGGTATAAGGTTGTCTAGGGCTGTGTGGGGTTTAGTGTAGGCTTTCTTCAAACACGGGCTTATGCTATGATTATGAGAAGGGACCTTAGCAATAATTCCTTAGCAGTAATTCGTGTTACTACTTATTCGGATTTCTATATACTACCCAAACATAGATCAATCAAGGCTTCATACGGTTTCTATCAGGGTACTACCCATGGCTCCAGGAGGGCCTTACACGGCTGCCATAGTAGGCATTTTGGGAGTGTGGGGCTCTATTTGAAAGGATCCAGGTTTTTTGGACTGTAAAATAACTAGTCTCTATAATCTCCCTAAACCCTAAAAGCGTAAACCCTAAAACCCTAAATCCTAAATAATAAACCCTGAATCCTTGTTTGAAAGGATCAAGGGACATAGTAACCAGTGCTGAAAGGCGGATAACTAGACTTATAATCACTTATGACCCGGGTGAAGACACAAATAACCATACTTACTACGTCCCATGCTCCCCCAAGTGGGATTCAAAGAGTGGGGTTATGGACCCCTACGCGGAACCCGAAACCTACTAGAGCCTAGACCCTAAATCCTAAACCCTAAAAGCCAAAATCCCTAGAGACCTTGGCCGAAACCCGACCCGAGATCCAAAACGGAGACTAATTTTGAGGGTTTAAAATTTAAGGCTTCGGGTAAATAATGCCTGCCCTGTCGTACTCGGTAACTTTGGTAGGATAGCCTGTTCAGCTCAAAACCCTCCGCCCTTTTCAGCATGGGCTTGGATTGTGTGCCAGCGAATACACCTCAACAGCAGGGCCTTCTCGTNNCAACCGGAGGAGTGACAGAAACATAAGCATCCCTCCGCCCTTTTGCAACGTCCTTGTCAGACCTCGCCCTAAACCCTGAACCCTAGAGACTCTGGGTTCAACTCATGAGCGCTTGTCTCAAGAAGCCTAAGCCCTACACTCCCAAACCTTAAACCGACCCGTAAAACCTGGACACAGAAGGGGCCTTCGTACTAGATCTTCTGACCCCCCCAATTTCAGCCTGTGAAAACTGGGCCAACCAACCTTGAACTCTTCGCTTCCTCGAACTAATCCTGGGCTTCCTCTCGTCTCAAGTCTTATAAACTCAACACTAAACATATTATAGGGGAAAAAATATTTTTTCCCCTATAATATGTTTAGTACTAGTCTCAAGTCTTATAAACCCAACACTTCCATAAACTGTACACACTGGTGTTCATGCGTGGTCTCAGATATCTTAAACCACTCTTCTAAGCATTCAAGCCTTAAGCTAGTATGTTGCCCCATTCATTCCCATAGCCCCTCAGAGATCCCTGTTCAAACTATCTCGGCGTCTTTATCACAGCCGATGGAGTCCAGGGGCATTTCTTGTACCCGGCGAAGAGTTGGTCCAAGGTGGTGCCAAACTTGGCCTCCTTCGGGTCCTCGGTAAGCTTGCGGGAAAATGCGACTATAGTCACCCTATAGCAATGATTCAGACCACTATACTTCTGGTGTTCTCGATTTGAGAGTCGCAGCTTTTTTTGCGAGTCACATCTCGAACCGGTGCCCGGGAAGACCTACCCCAAGAAGCTAACCCCAGGCATATCTTGAGGCGGAGTTAAGCGGGTTAGGGCTCAGGGGGTTTAGGCCGTACGGTTTACGGTTGTAGAGCTTGGGTTTGAGGGCTTATAGGATTTTGGTGCTAAAACGGGCACATGATCCCAAGAAACTCGCAAGAGCTCTGAAGCCTAGAGGACGAGAAAACGAAACCTATCCCAATCAGAACAAGACCTGCGTTGTAAGGTAGGTCATCACCTCCCGAACCAAACCCCGTAAACCCGCAAAACCACCAAGAGTGTCTAGCATTCAACCAGCCCTCTTCGGATGCCCCTCTGCAGCTGATACTTTTTTGCTTCATCGAAATACTTAATTTAACACACAACCCGTGTGATGGTTTTCAGGTTTGGTGTTTCGGGGCACGTAGGGCAAAGGCTTTCGGGCTTGACGTTGGGGTTTAGTCCGTGGGGCTTCCTAGGGTTTCCCGCCTCCTTGGGATACTGTAGCGTTTACTGCTTTTTTTTCAAGGGTATAAATATAGGGCTTCGGATTTTGCATTTACTTCTTGTACGCTAAGCCCTAGCCGCCGATCAGGCTTAATTCACTCGAGTCCGCAGACCTAATCATGGAGAGAGTATTGACTGGGCCTATTGGTTTGACATCCTGCGGGTGAGAATCGAACCTTGCAAACCCTACGTGCCGACAAAAGCTGAGCCCCGAGCCCTCGCAAGCCACAAACCTGTCCAAAACAGCTGGTTCTTTAATTTAAATCAGAAGACTCGAACCCCCCGATTTCAGAGTTTTTTCTATCATACTTTCATCCCTATTAAAACCTCTTTTCGGCAAAGTTTGTCATCAGGCATCTACAGTATGGCCTAACTTATCACGGGGCAAGCGCGGTCTCTGAAGACTCGAATCCTCCAAAGACGACGCAGCAACCCTGAAATTCCTCCGAGCAGCGCCAATCAGAACGTTGCCAGTTCGCGTTGGCCCGGGATTGTACCGAAAACCTGGGTCAAACCAGTCCCAGAGCCCCAAAAGCCTAAACTCTACACCCTAAACACCCAAAAACTCTCCACACAAAAACCTAAAGTAGGTTCGGGTACGAAGCCTACGGTCTGGGTTTTCGGCATACGCGAAAGTCCAGGGTAGAGATGTCGGGAACCCGACCTGCCAGAATGCTCGCGGCCCTGCACTCTTGAGACAGTAAGGCTTGTCGTCTCTGGGAAATTCATACGGGTTGTGGGCCTCACAGGAAGTGACAAATGTGGTGACAGGTGCCTTGATTTCGGCTATGGGTAGCTGTCTCAAATCATGTCCTAGCATACTAGTATCCGAGCTGGCGAAGGCCCCTGATCCGCTGAAGGCAAATTAAATCAGTTAAGGTCATAACGTATTAGGGTATGCGCGAGCCTTAGCTGGAGACCCCCGTCCCTACGTAGCGAAAGATGGAACCGAAACATCGGAGCCCCGAACTCATCCGGAAACCTCGAAGACCAAAAAAGCC